AACGTAAAACTAAGTGCAGTGATTTCTTCATCTGGATCTATGATTCGCAGACCCCCTCGTGCTCTGGGCTGTGTGGTGACCACTGCATTTCCCGCGCCACCCTCCTTAATATACAGTGAGCATCTTCGTGATCGTTTTCTCATATATAAGTAGCGGCCAATTACTTCAACGCGACGCTATGGCTATGTTGTCCATCGAGCTGCTAAAAGGCGACCGTGTACCAAAACGCTATGAATATTACGTTATTATTGATAACCAGTGCCCTTGCCACCAGGGAGGTGGGTTAGACCTTCCATCTGGTCAGTCTTTCCATTGCAGATTGACAATCGTCCCTTTTTTTTTTTTTTTTTTTTTTTTTAAGGTTGACAGGAGGCCCAATGCTGTGAGGTTCACCCCAAATACTCTGATCGGGGCTTCTCCACCCTTTCATGTTACTTGAGGGTGTGGTGGTGGGGAGACGGTCTCGAGGGTGCATCCACCAGCCTCATGTTTTGGTCCCCCAACTGACTTTCATCTCCACAGCCACCTCATCATTAGCCCTGAAGAGGACGGTCATATCATTTGCAAAAATATAGGTTACCAGCACCTTTTTTTTTTTTTTTTTTTTTTTTCAATATAAAGTCCAGGGTGTTGTAGAGGCCAGTCAGTGTGTGCACAGTGATCACCTGGAACTGTGAGCCGTGGGCGTCCTGAAATACGAGACCACCTCCCATCCCATCCTCACGTCAATACTCCTAGCGCACCCCCTATCCCCTAGGCTACCAGCCGGGCCGCCCGGGTCCCGGGTGGCCAGCCCGTGCAAGGAGGTCCCAGCAAAAAAAAAAATAAAAAAAATCCAAAAAATCCGAGAAAAAACTATGTTATGCAGAAAAATAAACTGAACAACTTTTGCCTCAGGGTCACATCGAAATTCTTTATTTTTTTTGCCCGGCCAGGCAAGTGACCCCGGGCCACTCTGGTAGCCTAGCCTATCCCACTATTGTACCTTAGTGTGACCAGCACTCAGGACCATTGCCCTACCAACGGGCAGGCAACTTGGACTGAACAGCACTGCAGTGAGAGGCACCAGGGCTGATAGATTGCCCAGCCCTGGTGGAAGCGGAATCGGACGAAGCTTGTCGAACGGGAAGTTCGGACGCCAGGCCTAGACTATTTCCGGCACCTTTATCCTTTTATATAATAATAATATTATTGGATCTGATAATGGAGGCCAAAGATTCCATCACAAGGACAAAGAGCATCAGAATTATGGGGTTGCCTTGCCTCACCGATCTTTGGAGGGGGGGGGAAGGGAGCGAGGTGTCCATCGAGCGTGATATTTGTGGTGGCGATCCTGTGAAAATTGTTAACCCACTTACGGAAGGTCGGTCTAAAAAATCAGCTTGTTCAGGCACATGTGTAAAAAGTATCAGTCTACATGGTCATATGCTTTTTCAAAATCTATGGATAAAATTGTTGCCTCTACCTTTCTTCGTCGTGCATATCTGATTGTATCCTTGATCAGTAAAATAATGTCTTTTATGTTTCGGTTGGGCAACTTGAAAGCCTGACAGGTCAGAGTGAAGCAGGTATGACAGGTGGGGCAGCAATCTATTGCCCCAAACTTTGACTACGATTTCATAGGGCACGAGAAGGAGACTTAATTTCATATTTCTTTTTTCGCTCCTTTTCGGTATATCAACGTGGTTACTCCTTGTTCAATCTGATCACCAGAGGTTTCTTTGTAAAAGACAGATTTTAGAGAGTATGTAAATGCCCCAGAACTGGATCCAAAACTCCTTGGGGAAGGATCTGAAGCATAGTTGCAGTGCACGTCGGTGCGCCGGTTTGCGCACGGTTTGCGCACGTCGCGCCGCGCACCGCACAGCGCACCGCCGCGCCGCGCACATCGATAAATAGGGGTTGCTGAATTTTATTTTTTTTATGGGCTTTCGGTAGGACGGCGGGCCCCCACCCCGGCAAAAATGACGATTGGGCCGCGCCACTCGGCAAACCGGCCGCGCCCCCCCTACGAATTGTTTTTTGGGGGAAGGGCCTGCCGAATTCGAAAATTCGAATTCGGCAGGCCCTTCCCCCAAAAAACTTTTTCGAAAACGGGGACGGCACCGGCGGGAAGATGCTAGAGCAGCGGCAGGAAGATGCTGGAGCAGCGGCGGGAAGGTGTTTGAGCAGTGGCGGGAAGGAGGCAGGGAGGGACAAGGCGGACGAGGTAGGGAGGGACACGGCGGGGCAGGGAGGGAGGGACAC